CCCCCCCCCCCCCCATGTTCTAGGCAAGAAGAAATCCAATTTAAAGAAGTATTTGACAATTTTAAGTTATTTGCATACTGAGCCTGTACTTACTGAGCAAAGTAACAAGTTTACTTTACAGGGAGGCCTTAAAGCATCCTTTTATTTTTCTCCCAATCGCCCAACAAGCCACCTCAGAAGATTATGGTGTAAATTTCAAGTTGCTGAGCATAACTGTACTCTCTGCCTTACAGCACTTGGGCTTTATAATTGGCCGCTCATGTATTGAGGGCTGTATTGTAGGGAGGGAGGATGAGTGTTGTGTATTCCCAAATATATAGAAGTACCAGGTGGTTTTGTTTTCTTCTTTTTTCTCTAGGGTAGTCTAATGGGGATGTTAAGCTTTTTAGGGTGCTAAAAGTCCTTCTGGAAGGTATGCCTGTTACTTTGCCTCTATGAGCAAAGTAAGAGTTCACTTTGAAACCTCCCTTCATACAGAAGTTTAACTTTTTTCAGAATATCCCAACCTTATGGAAACTATAAAGCTTTACAGACATATGTCTATTGTTGACCTTCTTTACGCTTACATCAAAGTGAACACTATTTACTTTTTACTGAAATACTCCTGTGGTCCTTTGGCATAAAAGGTCATTCATATAAAAAAAACCAGTAAAAAGGGCTACTGAGTGATTCCTTCAATTATAATTTGGTTTAGTTTGAACAATTTGTTCTTTGGTGACTTAACAAGTATTCCGCCTTACATAGCTTGTTGATGGATTTTTATGTGGGAAAGTCCTAAACAAAATCTTATAACCCATCATGAATTCAATTGGCCTTAACTTGCTATCTTAAGATTTAAATTTGTTTGTCACCAGAGTTCATCTGTGATGGTGTGTTTTAAAACAAATTCATTTTTATGGCAATAAAGGCACTCCTGCGAATGGTGGTGAAATGGCTTGGTGGTCGGGTCTCAAGGTGGTTAAAACACACACACACACACACACTGGAGTGCCTTATTTGTGTACTGTGACATTTTCAAAAGCTATTTGCACATGTTCAGTGGTTATAAAAAAAAAAAACCAACAAAAAAAATGCGTGCATGCCTAATGCTGCTTAAAAAGATGTTCATGATTAGTTGGTGGCATTCAACAGTCTGTTAGAAGTTAGTCATTTTGCTTTTAAGTTTATCCTGAAAGACTAAACTACTTACTTTTATATCTTACTGCTGTATGTAACCAGGCGAACAAAATTCTAATTTCTTAATTGCAGTCTGTGAGCAGAGTCTGAAATATATAAATGTGACCTTGCTCTGCTCTTATAAATATTGTAAGGAATATTGTACTAATTGGGACTTGCAGAACCTAAAGTGGAACACCAGTCAAAATAGTGGGGTGTTTTTTGGATAGCGTGGGGAGGTTTAAACATCTGCCCGACTTTAATTATGGTCTGGGTGCCAACTAGGGAGCTTTACACCTCTCGTCCTGTCAGAGTACTTATGGAGACGGAAGGGGACTTTTTTTTCTTATTTGAACAGGGAAGGGTTTAG